AAACTTACGAGGGTAATCTCTAGTACTTTAGCTGTTACGTAAACTACTAAATATTACTTATTTGACCCACCTTATTAAATACAGCATTTTCCTTTACGCATTCCCTTGGCAACACCTGAATGTTGATGTTTTAAAAAGAAAATTTAACTCCATCTGGGAGTTCTTGATGGTCATCTTGTTGGAGAACGTAAGTGATGTGTTTTGCTCTTTCTTCTAGGAGGTTCTGGCGAGATATGGTTACTTGAAATGTGACTCTAGGAGACAAAAGCGAAGCCTATTTTCAGGTTTCCTGAATGTAATTCCAGATGAAGGAGGAAGGACTAGCATTTCCCGTACTTGCAGCAAAATGGAAGTGGAGAATGCCATAAAAAACTACCAGAAAACGTACAATATGCCGCAAACTGGTCGTTTGGATTCCGATACTTTGCGCGTCATGAGCGAATCACGTTGTGGAAACTCTGATGACGAATCATCTGCAGTTCCTTTTCAGCCATTATCTAATGTCGGCCTAAAACGTAAGTGCGGGCTGAGGCAAAACCTAAGATATATAAACTGTTTTTCTTTAAAAACTTTCTATACGTTTTTCACCAATACATCATTATTTTTGAGCTGTACGTTTTTTTAAAAGTTCAATATTTGATGGTTGTGTATTCTTGACCTCGGTTATTATATTTTGAATATTAAAGTGACGTCAGACTTAATGAAAGATACTATGTATGCATTACTCTGAGAATTGAGCGTTATTTTGGGTCATCGGTACAGACGGTTGAAACATTCTCTAGTTAAGATATTTCTTTTTTGTTCGAAAATAGTTCTATTTTTCATTCTTACTCGGCCCGGCATGGCCAGGCGGCTAGGGCGCTCGAGTCGCAATCTGCGGGTCGCAGGTTCGAATCCCCATCACACCAAACATGATCGCCCTTTCAGCCGTGGGGGCGTTATAATGTGACGGTCAATCCCAGTATTCTTTGGTAAAGGAGTAGCCCAAGAGTTGGCGGTGGGTGGTGATGACTAGCTGCTTTCCTCTAGTCTTACACTGTTAAATTAGGGACGGCTAGCGCAGATAGCCCTAGTGTAGCTTTGCGCGAAATCCATAACAAACAAACAAACATTCTTACTTAAAGATATTTCTGCTTTCTACTCGTATTCAACGAATTTTTTTCTGTTTCCATCATTATTGGAAGATATTTCTGTTTCCATCATTATTAGAAGATATTTCTGTTTCCATCATTACTGGAAGATATTTCTGTTTCCTTCCTTATTTGAAGATTATTCTGTTTCCATCATTATTGGAAGATATTTCTGTTTTTATTTTTATTCGATGGTATTGCTGTTTAGTATTCTTTTTCGAAGACATTTCTGTTTTACATTCTCGTATGAAGATAATTCTGAGTAGTATTGAAGTGGTCATTTTAAAGTGTGATATTCCATCAAGAAACGCTTTCAGCTGAGACAAATACACTCCACAACAGTATTTTATAGTATGTTATTTCCTCTTTTTTTTTCTTAAATTGTATCAATAACAGATAATACAAACGAGAAAATAACAAAACGCATTTTCCTGAGCTAGTTCTGTTAAGAGAAACTCTCCAATTTAAATCAAACTATATACTTTATTTTCTTAAAACGTACATTATAAAATATGTTGTTAAATAACACAATTAACTGCTTTACAGAAAGTTTTATTAGCTGGAAGTAATGAATGATTTTCACCATATCTTGCTAAACCTAATAATTACTGGCTGGCTTTGTCACAAATAAAAGCGATGGTAAAGTTAGCTTAAAATCATCTCTTTTCTTATCTGCAATAACGTAAGTTTATGAACTATGTAGCTCAACAAAATAAACTTTAATTAAAAACATCAGATATTTATTCAGCCACAAAGTTGTTGTTATGTGCAACAGACTTCAAATTAAATCATCAGATGTTTCTCCAGCCACAAATTTGCTCCCACATGCAATAAACTTCAAATAAAACCATCAGATATTTCTCCAACTACAAAGTTGTTGCTACGTGCAATGATCTTCAAATAAAAGCATTATATATTTCTCCAGCCACAAAGTTGTTGCTACGTGCTTGATACACCTTTGTAACAGTCTCGACAACTACACAGAATAATGTAACAAGCATTTTTTTGGTGAATGACCTAACTGGTAAAGTACACTGCTTTTACAATTCAGTGACATACTGAAAACTAGACAGATTAAAATGTACCTCAATGGATGTCGTTCTACCATGTTTCCTCTGTTTGTTTGTTTCGGGTATTCGCCCAAAGCTACACTAGAAATATCTGCGCCTAATTTTGAACTGATAGACTAAAGGGAAGAAAGCTAGTCAGCAACATCTACCACAATTCTTTCAACTAGTACGGTGTTGCCGTCATCTTTATATTGCACCCACGGTCCCAAAGTACACATTGCGATTTTGCGGCAATGAAACGCAAACGATGAATCTCGGATTAACAGTCTTGCACTTTAGCCACTCAGCCACGCCTGGCCTCTCTGTTTCCTCTACCTTCCATTGTTTGAATTGGCTTACATATTTTGAGTGTGTTGCCATGGTAAGTGTTTAACGTTTTTTATTACTCAGGCGTCTTTTGAAAGTATTATTTTGAGGAGATTAAAATGACGTCGCTAACTAACACTAACAATAACAGAAATACGATTCACTGTTGTAACAGGCACCCATTGTGGAAGAACAACAGGAAAAACGTGATAGGTTTGAAATTGAAACATTTCAACTTTGGTTTGCATCTAATTTTAACCATTATGTATAAGTTCAATAGTATTCTATCGTTTATATCATTGATATTTTATACGTAATGTATTAGTGATGATATAATGTGAAAAGACATTAGGAGTTTGTTAATTAACATACTTTCATTGATAAGTTAATTTATTATAATCTTAAATACGTGACAGTTTTTACAACCTCTGGATGTATCATTTATCAGATGTACGTTTAAAAAGCATTTTTATTGAAAACTGTCTTCATATTGTCCAGTACAAGGTACTAAGACTGTGTCGACAGACTACTGAGTTTTGTTACACATGAATTAAAGTTTTATATCTTTTTTACTATTAAATCTCTCTTTACCCCGAGCAAGAAATAAGACTAAGAGCTTGGAACGCTAAAGATTGGATTTTTATACTCGCGGTGGGCATAGCACAGATAGCCCTTTGTGTAGCTTTGTGTTTAACAACAAACAAACAAACCAAAACTTTACTTTGGAGAAGTTTTGAAGGTTTAACAAAAACAACGAAAGTGTTATGTTGTCACAGTATACGTTACAACAATGAACTGGGAAATTAATTCATCTTTTACAACAAGCCGTATAATGGTAGTTTATTGAAAAATGTATTGTTATTGAAAATTGATAAAGAAACAAGAAGCAGGCAAAAATAACTGGCGAAAAGTAGAAACACATTAACTGATAAACTTTAGAAACGCGGCAGTTGTATTCTTCTCTATCTTTGCTCTCAAATACCTATTTGATACTTATACTAATCTCTGCTTCCATAACATTAACCTTATTTACTATCGTATGTAATAGAAATGTAATAAAAATATTTGCATCGTAGAAATTGCAGATCTCCAGAGCGTAAGAAGGTTTTGTTTGTTTGTCTCATTATCTGACTTGCTGAAAATGTGATATTCCCTGAAGCAAATCCATCTCAAAGAAAAACAAAACCAAACAATATATAACAGCTTGTTTAACATTCCTTGCCGTTTATTGAAGCTGATTAACTTTGATTCAAAACATAAGTACTAATGTTCTCAACAGCCAGTGTCCTTTTTAAGAAATGATCAAAGTACATACAATCATAATCTACAAATATGTTTTAAGGGTGTAAGAGAAAATTGTTCATTGAAGCAAGTGTTTGGTATAATTTATAGTGATTACACTTAAAAATGTGTTTTTCTGATAGAAATATCCCATACTGTTCAACGAAAACACCACTAAATGTTTTAATTCTCATTAAGAAAGAATATTTTAATCCTTGTCTGTCTTCCATACAATTTAAAAACCTTGTTTTTGTTGTTGTCTGTCATCCAAACAAGTGAAGAGTCGAATAATATTGTCTACCATCTATACAATTGAAGAACCTTGTGGTGTACACTAACTTCCACTCAAGTAAAGAACTTTGTTGTGTCTTCTAGACGACAATTTCCATGTAAGTCGTTCTAAACGGGAAACTTCAGAACCTTCAACATCCTTACACGACTTTATCATGAGAGCTGGCAAAGAACCTACTTCGAATTATGGTTCTCTCCCAGGCACTACTCTCTCACGCAGACTTCATTGGATGGAAGAATACGGCAAACAAATTGAAAGTGGAGCTTTTGATCAGAAACTGGAGAAGATACACGACTACATCCAGTCACGTCGAAGAAAGAAACGCTCTCTAGCCATTGGTATTCAAGGCCATGCTTTTAGTTCGGTAAGATTAACCTATTCTTATATTTGAAGGATTAATTGAGAAGTCTATGGATATCTGTACCACATTTTACCCTTGTTATAAATAACTTTCGTCAAATGTTTTTCACTATTATTAAACTAACTACCGAAATAAGCCATCAAATTTATTCAATAATGGGAATGTTGTTACATTTAAGTCAGTTTCTCTTTGTTTGTCTTTTTAATGTGTAGCTTAAGGGAGTATCCCCACATATAAAAATATATCCTTAGCTACATTATACAACAGCATTTTTTAAGTTGTGCGTCACATAACTCGGTAAGCTATATTGGGAAACTTTATACTACATTATTTGACACATCTGGTTCACTTTATGCTTTTTACAGAGTAGAAATGAACAAAACATTATTTCACTCACACGATGGGTGGTTTGCTAAACATTATTAAACACATTAAAAAATTCAGAACAAAATACTAGCCCCCAGTGGCACAGCGGTTTGTCTGCGGACTTACAATACTAGAATCCGGGTTTGATGCCCGTGGTGGTCAGAGCAAAGATAGCCCATTGTGTTGCCTTGTGCTTAACTTCAAAGAAAAACAAAAAACAAAATACTAAAATAAACACATCATGTTGGATCCCTGCTTCTTCATTTAGTATGTTTATGTTAGTGTTCCTCTTCACTCCCATAATCCACTTATTAAACTGCGTCTGGATTATGTTTCTTCATAATTAATCCATCTCCACACTTCTACTCCGTATATTAGTATTGTTCTCTAACGATTGCTTAAAACATATTCATGCTGTGAATGTTCTTTCTCCTATTCCCCATGCTACAACAATTATGGCTTCAAAAGAGACTCTCCGTTGAAATCAAACTATATTTTTCCTTCATTTCATAAAAGGTGCAACACAGAATATTTTCAAATAACAATTTACAGAATGTGTTTGTTAGTTAGAAGGAATGTAGTATTTACCCATTGACTTTATAGTTCATAACAGAAAGTAGGATTCTGTGATGAATAGTCCTTTGGCTTGCTGTTTTGATCAGATAACTGATGTGCGATTTTGACCCATTATCACTTCAAAAATGTAATCCAGATATTTAAATTATCTTATCGCCTCAAATTTGTCTTCTTTCCGTTTTCATTTTCGCTTTTTTTCTTCTATTTTCAAAACGTGAATATTTGATTTTTCCACATTGAATGCCACCTGTTTTCTTTCAACATATTTTTATAAACTTAAGATCATCGTGTTGTAACCCTTCTAATTATTCTCACTTTATGATTTGTATATGCATAAATTTCATCGCTAATGTGTTTGAAATAGTACCAGTACTCCAATATATTGTTAGATCCTCGACTTACAGATCCTATTGATGCTTTAGGAGCTGGTAACCTGGCGTCTAGTGGAGTCCGCTTACAGTAGTCAGCTTACAATAAACACACAGAGGAAAGCCCTGGCTCTGGCTTTTCGAATGTGGGGTGAGGTGATCCCTTTGCTGTTTCAAGAAGACACTCGTTCTCGAGTTGACGACGTAGATATTTTGATCGCATTTGGGCGAGGTTGGTATCTTTCATGTATTTGTGTATGTATATATTCCAACCCTCTCTAAACTATAACGTATGTTATCTGTGACATATAAATACCTTTTTTTTAATATATAAATATTGTGCCTTTGTATTTCCCGTTTTACTTGATTTTCTATTGAGCTGGTAAAGTTATCTGAAAATTAACAAGAAAATACTCAAGCCCAAACGTTAGTAGAAAAATTCAGATCATGTCCGCCATTTTTATTCTGTGTTTTCAGATCTCAAATGGCAAGACATTCTGTAAATTATAACCATTACTCTGCATCTTGTGTAGGTCTGATAGCTATAACGCATGACTCTATATCTCGTGTCGACTTATAAAAAAACAAGAATTTAATTGGAAAATTACCCCTGTATGAAGCTTTGGATCTAAATATCATTTAAAACTACAAAAATGAGAACTCCTACTAAAAATTAAAAATTAAATTCAACGTATTGCAATGTGTCATGTATTTCTTTTGTATCGATTTATCTGGAATTGTTTAAATCAGTTGAAGTGTTTACAATATTGGAAATATGTATGAGAACAGTAAATAAAATGGGTATAAATGCAAATATCATGGGATTACTCCCCTTCTATTAAACGAAAATTCAAAGCGCCATAATACAGTAATGTGTTGACATTGAATACTTTGGTTGATTTATATCTAACAATCAGACAGTGCCCCATCAACATAATACCTATAAAAGTACAGGAAGTCATACTATTCCCAGCAGTAGTGTGGTATTGCACTCATTACTTTTAGGACAGAAGCGCTACATGATAAACGTGTAGAAATCAAAGTTTGGCTAGAAAAGGCCTCTTTACGTGAAATATTGAGGCACAAATGGATGCTTCAATAGGTAGATGAAACTAGTATTGTTGCTAATAGAAGCA